AACGCTTTATTGGTTCCGCTATCAGGACGGAACCAATAATAGTAAATTATTTTTTTTTTAATAAAAAAAAAAAATTGTCAATTTTAAGTTTCCCAGCGTGTGAGACGTAACTCCAGGACACGGTTTTTTAGCCCTGGATGAATCGTACCTTGCTGAGAGGGAAGGTGAGCGGGCCGTGCAGGAAACTCGTCCATATATTTCATCTTCATCTGCTCCAAACGGGCACTGAAACAGAGATGGTGTCAAAGTCAGACCCTTAAAAATAGTAAGGAGAGCAGACATATCTAGAAACAGTCTCCATAGAAACAGTCAAAACACTGGCTTTTGGTAGCAGAGATGATTTTATGAACTTTGTTCATTTGGAAAAGAAATTAGGCCAGGATTTCAAGTTAAATCCAGTCATGATGTGTAAAAATCATCACATTGAATTATTCATTTACTTTAGCAGCGTCATAAGAAAAATAAAAGAAAACATTTACTACAAACATTTATTCATTTGGAGTTGGACTGTTTAATAATCGAAACAAGTCACAGTTGATGAAAATAACTTTAAAGTCGAAGGGAAGCGGCTTTACATGAGTGAATAAAGTGAATGTGATTGGTCGATTATCAAGGGGGCGGGATTGTTGTGGCGGAAGGTTCATAAGCAGTTTGGTTGTGACCGGTTTGTCAGAAGCATCTTGCTAACAGTTAGCATCTTAGTGCTAGTAGCCTGAGGAGCAGAAGGCATGAGAGGATAAAGGAGTCGGTAGGATCCAGAAGATTTTTTTTCTATATTGAGACTTCATTATTTGTTAACAAAGGCCGAGATCATTTTATTGACTGTTTATTTGAGATATTCCAAACGTCTTCCAGGTCCGGTGTTCTTTAGAAATGAACGAATTAATGTTTGTTGATATTAAGGACTCCATTTTTCCATTATCATTAACTAGTTTAAAATCGTCTCAAAACAACATTATTATGGTTTATTGAAATCGTTTATGGCCCATTTCCATCTTTGGTTCTGGAGGTACGGAGAGCTTCCCTGTTTGATGACGCCTGCAGAAAGCAGCTGAATCAGCGGCTGCCTTTAAAACGGGTGATCATGCAGACGGAGCAGAGGAGGAGGAGCAGAGGAGTCTTACCGGGAGGTGGCCTCCTGCTTTAGCCTGTCGATCTCAGCCAGAGCCTGAGTGAGCTGTTCCTGCAGCTCTTCCTTCTTCTGGTTCAGCTTCTCTCTGGCTTCTCGCTCTGCCAGGAAGTCGGCCTTGTAGATCTCAGCCTGAGCAAACAGACAGACGGCAAAGGAGGAAAATGAGGGACTTGTTTCTGCTTTGGGAAATCGGCGTCTTCAACGGGGCATACACTGGACAATTTGTTGGTGAATATTTAGCCTGAAGCAGGGCCAGATCCAGTGATAACTTATAGGTGGGCTTTAATATCCATCTATTAAAAATAATCCTATTTATGATGTTTTAAAAAAAAAAAAAGACCTACGAAAGACTGATTTAAGACATTTTAATACCAATTAAGGCCTTAATTTTATTTTGAAGAATTCAAAGCCTTTTAAGACTTTTTAAGGACCCGCGGGAACCCTGATATCTATAAACCAGGGGGGGTTGGGGGCGCGGAAGGAGCAGAAGGAATAAAACGAAACCAAAGCAAGCTGGTGGAATCTGAGGAAACAGGAAAGCATTTTCCTCCCATTTAAAGGCTGTTAGTAAATGATCACTTTACAGAATATTATCAATCTATTAAATATGGAATTCCCTGGTGGGTTTTCTCTGGTGGGTTTTCCCCGATGGTGTTTGTTACTTTGCAAGTTTTTCCTTCATCTAGATTTGCATTTCATCCCCTTAAACTGTATAAATTCTTCCTCTGTGTCACTGTGTGTTTATTCTCATAAAGGTTTCCCCTCATGTAGCCTGGTGGATGTAGTGAGTTGACTTTTCAATGGAACTATCCCAGTTCTCCAAAATAGGATCCATTACCAGGACTTTCTTCCAGACACAATCCAAAACGGGTTAAAAATCAATCCACTGGACTGTTTCCAAGTTTGAAGACGTTTCTCTTCCCATCCAGGAAGCTTTTTCTATTCAAAATGTCTGGATTAGTGTTGAGCTGCAGGCTTTATAGAGTAGCCCAACAAAGACTAGTTTTTGTTTAGAAAACATGCTGATTGAATGGAAACTGGACGATGCCTCAGTAATGGGGAGTCGTTGGGGTCACTATTGGCCTGGCTTAACAGCTGCGATGTTTGGTGATGAGGTTTGAGGTGAAAGTGGGAAGGAATCAGCTCTAATGCTGCATTATAGGTTTTCAAAATGCTATAATGCAGCATTAGAGCTGATTCTAGCCCATAACAAGGCTACTAATTAAAGCCTGGAACTCAAAGCTACTCCAGACATTTAGAATTAAAACGTTTACTGGATGAGAAGAGAAACATCTTCAAACTTTGAAACAAAGTCCAGTGGATTGTTTTTAACCTTTTTTTTAATGACTTTGACCTGAATGACTGAGAATCCTCTCCAGCAGATGCTTCCAGACAGAAGAAACTGAACCCTGGTTTTAAGTGGATCTATGTGTTTACAGTGAGTCTGAGGTTGGAAACATGGCTGCTGGAATGACAGAGCAGATGCTGTACTCAGTGGGGTGATGAGCAAAGTGAATTTCACCTGTGCGGTGAGGACAGGGACGGTCTCCAGCGAGCCTTTCTGCTGCTCCACCTCCTCCTTCAGTTTATCAATCAGGTCCTGCTTGATGGCCAGCGCCTGCTCCGCCTCCTCCAGTTTACTGCTAAGATCTCCTCCCTGAAGCAACGCACGGCGTTCAGCGTCAGAGCAACACAACCAATGAGGGTAAAAGGTGCTTTTTAAAGAGTCGTATTATTTACTTCACTCTTCAGTTTGGAGTCATAGTCTCTGAACAGACAGGTGTAGGCGTGCTGCAGCTGGGACAGTTTCTTCCTGAGGAACATAGAGAATAAAACTCATCTTTCTAGATTACACTTTCTGAAGATCTGACCTGAAACTAGAAGCTGGACTCACTTCTCCTCTGTGACCACGTGTCTCTCCGTCTTCAGGGCGTTCTCCAGGCTCTCCACCTGCAGCATCAGTTTGTCCATGGCCACGTGATGCTGCTTCTTCTGCTGCTCCTGCTCTCGCTCTGCCACCTGCAGGGCCTTCACCTTGCTGACCAGTCTGCACACAGACGGAGGGAAGAGATGCTGAATGGAGACACCACTCCACAGTTACGCCCATATGATGCCACGACTCACTTCTCCTCCAGCATTTTGCGGTCGTCGTCGCTTTTCTGTAGGAGGATCTGTCTCTCGTTCAGTTCACCTAGCAGGGACGTGGCCTGCGCCTTCAGAGCCTCGCAGTCCTTGGCCAGCTGACGGGAAACAAACAGGAGAAAGGAAGCGTCAGCAGGACCCGCCTGCTTCACATGCAGAACACTGATGGTTCGGATAATCATCTAACTATGATGAGTAATAACAGAATGCAGGCGTCATGGGTGAAACATGAGCAGTAACTCTGCCGTGTTTAGAAGACTTTCAGTGGTCATGTTTTACATTAAAACAGTTTGTTGTTGTTTTTTTAAGGTGAAATTGCCCAGAAAGTGAGAAACGGTCTAAGAACTTGGAGCAGAATAAAGACGCAGATGCTCTCCCATCACCATGGTTTCCATTCTGGCTGAAGGCAATGCACTAATAGGTCAATAACATTAATAGTAAACATAATCACCATGATTTGGTTTTTCATAAATCAAAGCCAAAATCAATCTAAGGCTACGGTCACACAGCAGCCTAAAGCGACCCAAATCAGATTATTATGGCCGTATGCGACCTGGATCAGATCTTTTCATGAAACTCAGATCTGATTTTTTCCAATGTGACCCAGAACACTTTAGCCTCGTGAGACCATCCTGATCTCACGAGCTTTCAAGGTTTCACTCGCTAATCAGTCTGGAGACTCTCCGTTGAAGAAAATTTGGAGCCGTTCACCAAACGAACGTCCAATCAGCGTTGGCTTTGAGGTGGGTTGAGGTGTGACGCAACGAGAAGCGCGACAGTTCAGTCTAAAGAACATGGCGGCTTCAGCCGATGAAACTAGCGTTAGCGTGGCTATCGAGCAAGTTTTATCGGAATTACAGAGTATTTCTTCACTGAAAGAAGAGCAAAACACTGCTCTGGAGGCTTTTCTCAGAGGAAAAGATGTTTTTGCTCTTCTCCCGACTGGTTTCGGCAAGAGTTTGATCTATCAATTGGCTCCTCTTCGTCGTCGCTCTGTTAGTCCGTCATATGCTTCGTTGATCTGATTGGTTTATTTGGCCCGTCTATCACCAACATAGGCCAATCAGCTAACCAGTATTTTCGCCCCTTCCCAAAATTTCTTCAACAGAAGGTTTCCAGATGGACATGCGGAGCAAATCCATCTGGCGGAGTCAGGTTTAGAACACTTGGCTCTGTGGTCCTGAATCCGATACAAATCTGATCTTTTCAATGTGACTCGTGTCTGAACGGCCAGGTCGCATTCATCTGACCTGGACGCCATTAATTCCCAACAAAGGTCATGATTCTGCGTCTTTCTATGCAGAAGCGGCAAGGAAAACAACAACCATGGTGGATGATAATGGGGACAGCAGTATTTATGTTTAACCATCTTGAACAGATTGTGTTTTTAAGGTTGGGAAAGATGGCTAGATGCGCTCCAGCACCATGTTTACTTCTCTAACACAGAGCCCACAGGCTACCTGTGATGTCATTAATTCCTCTACTGCGCATGCAGGACACTTATATAACTGCAGTTCACACAGGAGATCACATAAAAGTCATGTAAATGGCAATAAAGCCTGAAGGCGTCAGATTGACTCTGTCAGACTCCTCAGATGTGAACAGAGGATGTTTCTAAAGCAGACCTGAGCACATTCCTTGTCCTTCTGCTTGAGCAGAGCTTCTGTTCTGTCACGCTGAGCTGAGCTCTTCTGCAGGTAATCCAGCTTCTCCTCCAGCTCCCGATACCTGCAGAGGGAAGACACCGGTCACTGCCGCGCGTCCAGAACGGGTTCAGGTTATTATGGAAAAGTCAGAAGGCACAGAAAAAGACGGCACTTCTGACATAAACAAAAAAAGTTTAATACCTACGTTTATTTCTCATAAAATAATTACATGTAAAAGCCTAATCTAAATTATTCTAAAATACATTTTTGCTCTGACAATGATGGATCAAATGCGGAATGTTGGAATGGTGTAAAAAGTAAATATAAACAACGTGGAACGTGTCTGATAGACAGGAAACCAAACGAGTTCAGATTTACATGCAGGGAGGGAAAATAGATAACGCCACACAGAGCGGCTCACCTGCCCTGTGTGGCCTGAAGTTGCTCTGTGAGTTTAGCCAGACTAGAGCTGGGAAAGGAAGCAAAAGAGGCAGAGGAGGATAAGGAAGAGGCTTGGTTAAGCAGAAGAAAGGACAGAGTTTAATTAGGCATGCTACATTCCTGAAGAGCATCTGCGTGATTACCTACAGGGTACAGCTCCCATCGTGGGAAGTTAGGGTTTAGCTTACAGCTAGCCTAGCGCTGATAATTATCCATATCTGTGGGGAATCAGGTCTCACCAGTCTGAGGTGTGCTGTGCCTCGGAGCGCAGCTGAACAGCTTCCTCGTTGCCGCTTGTCTGAAAAACAAAAGACTGTTTCTGTAAACGACAATAAGACCAAAGTTCCCAACATTTCCAACCAGCTTCCTGGGTTTAAAGATTTATTACAATAAACAGGATTAGAAAACACTTCTATTCAGGCAGCTGACCTTTTCACACCATCTCTGATCTGATCAAACAGCTGAGCGTACCACAAGTCAATCACTATAACAGAAAAATACAATAGACATCCAATGCTAGTTTCACCATGGACTGAGCTCAGATCTATGATGTTACCTGGAAATAATCCCAATATGATAAAAACAGGCTGAGGAGCAACAGGAGCTAAAATAAACACTAAATGGGAGGATTTCCTGACCAGCGAATTGATCATAATGTGTCTGAAGCAGCAGGTGGTCGGTGGATCCATGGCTTCAGCTTTAGCTAGCAATGTGTACGGGCGTCCATAACCTTTATTGAAAATATTTGAAATTGTACGCCCTGTTTTTGGGATGAACAGCTTAGCTTTTCCCCTGGAATACGGTGGCATATTTAATTTTCAAACGGACGGCTTCATTGGCGGGAAGAAACTGCCGGTTAGCTTGAAACTTTGAAAAGTTTATGAAAACTGATGGAAAACCTGATAACTATAGGATCATTCTGGAGGTTCAGTTTTTCTTTGAGATAATACTGTCCGTGTAAAACAGCTAGCATAGATAGGGGTGTAATAAATCCGTAGCAAAATGTCAAACAGATGCTGTGATTTTTTCACGGTTCTTTGAGCTAATTGGAGTATTTATTTCCAGAAGATGGATAAATGGATGCTGTTTGTGGCGACGGTGAGTTTATTTTGCCCTTTGGACGTTTACAGCCAGTATAACTGCCCTTTAGAGCAACATCAGCTGCTTGTGGAACACATTAGCTTCCATTTACTAAATGAACTAAGATCCATGAAAATGGGACAATCAGGTTTCAGGTTAGTTTTAGTATCGGCTGGATTCTTAACAGAGTAGATAGAAATCAAAGCCGTCCTGGCTGAACTTTCTCCTCTGCTGGGCGATAAACCAGATCTTTACCGTTACTGTCATTCACTATTATAACTGGTGACACTTTTCCCACGTCGGTAAAATAAATAAACCTAATTCCTATGTCCAGGATGGACCCCGCCCCTCCATCCAGGTTTTAACTCAATACGAGTGCGCCTGTGGTGCTCCCAGCGCACTGGACCCCAGCGAAGTGTTTCATAAGTTTATTAGATAAAATTCAGACCAAACCAGGGAAATAGAGGCTAGAAAAATCACTCAATATTCTTTAAACACAATGCAGCATGTTTTTAAAAGTTATTTTCACCTTTTTCAGCCATAATATTGACTTTGGAGTAAAAGAAAACCAGGAAGTTGTCTTATCTTGCTAAACGAGAAGCAGCCAATCAGACGTGAAGGTTTTTAGTCCCGCCTCCTTGACTTTGATGGATGTGTGACAGTTTAAAATATTTGATGGTGTCCTTCATCACAGCAACATGAAATATTGTATTAAAAAGTTTAATTAGTTTTAATTACGCATTTAAATGATTATTTCATGTTATTTTTTTGTGCATTGCTGCACTGATAAATATGAATCTCTCTCCCCGCCTCATTTCTAATCTGGGCGCTCCGGTTACCATGGTATCAAACAGGAAGTGTACCTGTGTCTGGAAGAGTTTACTCCGCAGGTGGTCGATGCAACGATGCTGTCGCTCTATAACTTCTTTGCCTTCATCCCGTTCCCTCTTCAGCTCTTCAGTTTTCTTTCTCAGCTCTCTCATCTCTTCTTCGGTTTTTTCTTTGTGTTTCTTCAGCAGCTGCAGGCACTCGTTGGATCCCTCTGCAGGCTGCAGGGAGGCATGACGGGAAGGGAGGCAGGGGGGAGGAGGGTGAGAGAGGGGAAGGTCGTTTCAAATTAAACAGTTACTGTTAATAGTAAACATCTCATCAAATGATCGCATTTCCCTATAAAAACAAAAAAATTTATTTTAAAAAATCTTAAATGAAATCTATTTCAGGATATAAATTCATTTATTGCTTCCTTATTAAATATCTTTTAATAGAGATGTTTTATATTATGACTCCTTTATTTTGTAAACCTACTTTATGGATTTTACTGTTTTATTTTCAGGCTCTTTCATTGTGATTCTATGATAAACTAGGGGGCGGGGTTTGTTCTGTGGGACGTTTTCTGTTCGGTTCAAAGCTTCCTGGTTTTACTGAATGACTGGGATTAATGGGAAGGCTCACTGGGATTAAGCTAACGCTATCTAACAGCGGCGGTCCGGATGAATTCATCCTGCAGAGAAAATCGGACCATTTGAAAATTAAAGCCTGAAATAGAAACCGGTTCAAACTAGATGAGGCCCGAAAATAGGAATGAAAAGCTTCACAAATTAAAAGTCTCCTGAAATAAAACACCCTAATGAAACAAATAAATAGAGAAATAAATAACTAAATGACAAATAAGCCAAATATATTTATGAAGTATATATAAATATATTTATTTTTTCAAGGGGACA